CCTGGCACATAAAAAGTTCTAGTACAGAATAGCTACCACTGTTATTGTTCTAAGGAGTTAGCAATATATAAGATTTTAGCTGTTTGGGGAAGGCGGGGCAAGTTCACTGAGGTAGGAAAAGAAGATAAGAGTTAAATTAATTTCAGAAGCAAATCACAAGGATGACTCCAAATAATAATATCTGTAATTCAATATCTCCAATTTGCCCACAAGTTCTCAGACATTTCCAAAATAAAATCTCTTGGTATAGAGATTACTGTGTACAAAATGATCTTACAATAGAATATGCATAGGTGGTAACAAAAGAAACCAGATCAATGTTGATGATCCCACTTATTAAAAAGGGGAAGAAAGAGTCCTGGTGGGTTCAGCAAGGCAGTTAGAGCCAAGGCCTGTGGACTGAAAGTCACAGGTTTAATCCCAGTATAGGAGGGAACCTATCAATGTCTCTTTTCTCTCACATCAATATTTCTCTATTATATATATATATATATATATATATATATATATATATATTTTTTTTTTTTTTTTTTTTTTTTTTTTTATTGATTTTTTACAGAGAGGAAGGGAGAGAGATAGAAAGCCAGAAACGTCGATGAGAGAGAAACATCAACTAGCTGCCTCTTGCACACCCTCTACTGGGGATGTGCCCGCAACCAAAGTACATGTCTTTGACTGGAATCGAACCTGGGACCTTTCAGTCCACAGACTGACGCTCTACCACTGAGCCAAATCAGTTTCGGCTCTCTATCTTACCCCCTCCCTTCCACTCTAAAAATCAACGAAAGTAGTATCCTTGAGTGTTGACTAACCAAAAACAAGGAGGAGAAGAGATTAAGATGTGCAAACTGCTAGTTATAAAAACAGCCACAAGGATGTCAAGTACACCATAGGGAATATAGTTAATAATATTCTAGTAACTATGGTATTGGATGGCCACTAGATTTATTGAGATAAGTAAATTAAATAAATGGCTAATCTCTATGACGTATACCTGAAACTAGTATGATATTGTATAGCAACTGTAATTGAAAAATAAACAAAATTACTTTAAAAATAACAATTAAAAAAATAAAACTACACATGACTCCCTGGCATAGAAACCATTATTTTTTTCCTTTTAATTTTTATTATTTTTTCCTTGGTTTCTCCAAGACAGGGATAACCAAAATCTATATTCATATGGGACTATAATAGCACGAATGAATAAAGAGGTAAACTTCTTTAGGGCTGGTTACAAAGAAAAGTAGCTCTTGTAACAAAATACACACACACAGCACCCAGAAATTTTCAACATTTTTGGAAATGTCAGTAATAGCTACCAGAGAAATGCACATTAATGTAGACTAGGAAGATCCCAATAGAATTAAAGTGCACTGGGCGGGTCACAGAGTAAGTTAATGCTTCTCTGGGTCAGTAATGTATCTCAGAGATCATCAATGGCATAAAGTGATAATATACATAACTGGAGAAGAAGAAAAAAAGATAATATGGGAATGGATAACCAAATATGCAATTATTGAACTAAATTAAAATTAAATTTGACTATTTATAACAATAGTAACATATCCCTATTTTAAATGTTTGTTGAAATTTACCTAGAAAATTTATATGGGACAGTCCAATTTTTTTCTTCCTTGTCCTATACTAGTAGCCTACTAAGAAATCCTCTCCCAAAGTCAGAAAGACATTAACCATAATAATTCAATGTTCTGCAGTCAGTGAATATCACAAATCTGAAACATGAAAATGTACAAAAAAAAAATTATAGTTAATGCAAGCCATCCTTTTCCTACATTCCATATAAAATAGAGAAAGCAGGTTATTTTTTGTAAGTGGCCAGTAATTGTCAGTATTGATAAAGGAACTTATTAGTTTAGCAACCAATTACAAATGGGTTAGGATACAAGACAGAATTATTGAAATGGACCCTGATGTTTCAAACCTATATTATAGCCACCTAAGAGATTCCTTGATAGCAGAATTCAAAGTAGTAGATTATTTCCTTCTTTGAAGATAGTGGGAAAGTTCTGGGAAACTATCAAGGTATAGGTGATTACAGAAATTAGGAGAATAGATGAAGAATTTAAGATTAAGAAGAAAAAAAAAAAGGCTTCCAGAACTGAACCTTAAAAAGAAATACTAAGTGAAAAACATGTACATTTCAAAGAAATAAAAGATTAACCAAGAATGCCAAGAGAGCCAAAACTGGTTTGGCTCAGTGGTAGAGCATCGGTCTGCGGACTGAAAGGTCCCGGGTCAATTCCAGTCAAGGGCATGTACCTTGGTTGCGGGCACATCCCCAGTAGGGGGTGTGCAAGAGGCAGCTGGTCGATGTTTCTCATCGACGTTTCTAGCTCTCTATCTCTCTCCCTTCCTCTCTGTAAAAAAATCAATAAAATATATTTTTTTAAAAATGCCGAGAACAAAAAATTGAGAACTGAAAATGGGAGTTTAGAAAGAAAGTGACACCAATTAATAATAGCTAAGCTAGGATAGTAGAGAATAAGGATAAAGTTACAAGGCTCTTAATCAAAATGAAATTTTAACTTTCTGGAGGCTTACAAATATTCATTATGTATAACGGAAAAAGAGAAGCAATATTTTAGGACAAAAGTCTAAACTACTTCAAATTCTCTTCTTTATAATAAATCTAATTCAGGTATATTTTATAATTTTTAAAAAATTATTTTTAAAAATACATTTTTATTTATTTCAGAGGAAGGGAGGAGAGAGAGGTAGAAACATCAATGATGAGTCCTAGCTGGTCTGGCTCGGGGCATAGATCATCAGCCTGCAGACTGAAGGGTCTCGGATGCGATTCCAGTCAAGGGCACAGGCCTGGGCTGTGGGCTCAATTCCCAGTAGGGGCGGTACAGGAGGCAGCTGATAATGATTCTCATCATTGATGTTTCTCTCTCTCTCCCTCGCCCTTTCTTTCTGAAATCAATTTTAAAAAAATAGGAAAAAAAAGAAACATCAATAATGAGAGAATCATTGATCAACTGCTACCTGCATGCCCTACAATGAGGATCAAGCCCACAACCTGGGCATGTGCCCTGACCGGGAATAGAACCGTGACCTCCACTGAGCTACGCTGACTGGACTATATTTTATAATTTTAACAAACCTCGCCAATAAACACACTTTATATATAATGTATCCTTTAAAATACAAGAAAAACTAGTACTAAATTTAAAAAACCCACAAAAAACAAAATTTCTATTATAGTATTGTCATTCCTAAGAAAGAAAAAAAGTTATTAACTGGCAAAAATGTTTCTGTATTTAGAATCATGGGCTTCTACTTATAACTCTAAGACCTATAGATTATTTACAGACGCAGAAACTGTCAGAAAGGCTAAACCTGTTGAAGATATAAAGCCTCTTGGTGGCAGAGACTTGCCAGAACTAAGATTCTTATCTCTGGTGTAGTGCTGTATTCTTCCCTGACATCACATCTGCAGCAATAGCCTACCGATCCCTTAGGACAAATGGTACTGAGAAAATTTAACATAGAGAATGAAAAATTCACTAATAGTTTCCCAAAGGGGAAATTTTAGAATTCATACAATTAAGAACTTACTTGTACCTTTACCTTCAGTGTTCAAGAACAAAAAAATGTAACCTGTAGCTCTAAATGGGCAAAAAGGACAAGTAAACACTCTGACATTCCCCTCTCCACCCATGCTTAGTTATAAAAACAGGTTTGGGCATACTCCGGTATCACTCCATCATTTTCCTTATGAATAACCCTAAACTTCATATCAAATGACTACAAGAGACTAAATTCTCACTCTTTTGGAGGCTGAAATGATGGCAAAATTGCCTTCCATTCATCCTATCCTTAGCTATGAAGGCAGAGTAGTGATTACCACAAAATGTTACTAAATAATACTAAATAGGTACATATTAATTTACTCTTTTAGCAGCTACCCTAAACCAATGAAACAAAGTAACTATGATATATGAAAAGGTTGTCTAATAAAGAAAAAAATAAATAAATCCTACAAAAACCAACTAAAGCCGAGACCGGTTTGGCTCAATGGATAGAGCGTCAGCTTGGGGACTGAAGGGTCCCGGGTTCAATTCCGGTCAAGGGCATGTACCTTGGTTGTGGGCATATCCCCAGTAGGGGGTGTGCAAGAGGCAGCTGATCGATGACTCTCTCATCGATGTTTCTAAATATCTCTCTCCCTTCTTCTCTGAACAAAATCAATAAATTAAAAAAAAAAAAAAAAAAAAAAAAAAACCAACTAAAGGAATCCTGGTAAGGCAAAGCAGCAAGAAGTGAAGTTGGGCTTCCTTAAAATCACTCTTTCTCATCTTCACAGGTTGGCTTTCAATACAGTTAAGTTTGCAGCATGTTAAACTTAGGTGTCTGTGTTTTATACAGGAATTTGGAAGATAAGGATTAAAATCCCAGTGCAATTATAAAGACTTCTCATAAAAAGAACCAAATGGGAATTCCCTGTGATAAATAATTTCTCCAAGTTCTCATTAAAAACTTAAGAAAAAAGGTAAATAAGCCAAGCTTCTTCACAGAAAAAAAATTGTATTTACAATTCAATTCAAAAGCAATTTTAAAGCAAACAATATAACACTGAAGTTGAAAAATCTATGCTCACCCAAAGTTGCCAAGTCTGATAAATTAACAGAACACTGCATCAAAAATAAGGCAATAACCCAAGATACCCAATGAACAATTTCTCCATTCCCACAACTAGATAGAACTAATCTATCTAGTAGCAAATGATATCTCACTCCATCTCAGCAAGTCTAAAATCCTTAGGATAGAGTGATAAAATATGACCTGTATTCTTCATTAGACTCTTTGAACACTTGAAGGAAAATAATTTCTAAAGCACAGAGAGGTAAAAAGGTATAGTCTTTGAAAAAGATACTCAGGGTTCAAAATTCAAGAATGCAATATTAATAATACACAATGGGCATTAGGTGAATGTATGCAATACAGTAATAGCAAATTAATTTATTTAGTACTTTTTCCATTCCATATCATCAGGAGGGTTGATTTCAACTTTTCTTTTACCTACATCAGACCAGTTGGTACTCAAAACTGTACCACCAGACTCCATCTGCAATAAGAAATAAAAATAGATTAATTCTTAGACCATATAATCAAAATATTTTTTTCTAAAAATCTTTAAAGCATAGAGTCCCAAATATTAGCAATATGTGGCTCAATAAAAACTCAAGAGCATATTTTGATTTAATTTTAAACTTTCCAGAGAAGTTACCATGCTCTGTAAAATATGAAAAGTTTAGAGTACATAGGTAGGAGCATCATGTTCACATATAAAGCACCATGTCTCCCTTTCATAATCAGCCTAGAGTTACATGTGGAAAAAATTACCTTCAGATTAAAATAAAATGGGCTCCTATAGAAAATGATGATATACTGTAATCTCTTTTTCAAGGACAGTAAAGACCAGGCAAAATAAATTCTACAATAGTTGGACAGAACTTTAAGAGCCCTTTCTTAATGCTCTCTCTGTACCAAATATATGCAAGTATGTGCTGAAATTTATTTTTTTAGATGAAGGTGCACACACGGGTATACACAGTGTTTAGGTAAAGAACTGGTTATCTATTTAGCATCTACTATACTACCCATTAACCCTTGCACACTCTTAAATACCTTAAAATTTTTTCTGGACATTTGTTATCTTAATGCAATACAAATTCATTTACTTGGATCACAACAAAGAACAGTATTATTAAAATCTAAACATTTAAAAAAGATCAGCTGTGTTATTGACAAATGTGTAACGTTACATACCCTACTATTACACTGAAACTTCACTATAGCCGCTGCCCCACACTCTCTGCCAAGCTCCCTTTACATGGATGCTCTTTTTCATTCCAGTTCTTTATATCTTTTTAGTTATGCTCCAAACACATCATGTCACCATATCTCTATTGCCTTCTTTGACCCTTATCAGGATTCTACACTTGTAGAACTTGTCTTCTGTATGAGCACAATTACCATAAATAAAACATGTATTGCACTGCACATGTATTGTATTACACTACACTATTATAACTTTAAGGGTCTGCCTTCTTAAATCTGTATCCTCCAAATAAAGCTCCTAAAAAATAAGGACTATACTTTACTAATACTTATATTCCAGACCTAAGCACAATGGCCTGGTACCTGGTAAGCTTCAAATAAAATACTGAATAAAACTGGGCAAGTCTACATAATAAACTACTCTTAAGATGACTGAAGGAAACATACTTAGTTTATAATATGGTCATATTCATTGATACTTATTTCCCTTCTCTTCTTATGGGTTGTAGTATAATTTAGCATTTTCCTCTGGTTATATTGTACATCAAGTATGTCAAATTCGTGGCTTGTGGGCCGCATGTGGCCCCAACAAATATTTTTGCATCACAGCCAATATAAGGGTATATAAGAAACGTTTTAATAAAAATTGCATGACTTAATTTTTACAATATCCTGTAATACATCACTAAAGGCCCAATGCATAAAGATTCGTGCAAGAATGGGCTTTCCTTCCCCTGGCTGCTGGCAGATCCGGCCCAGAGCCGCCTTTCTGCTTTCGCTCCGCCCAGAGCCACTTTCCGCCTTCCCACGCTGTCCACAGGCCCGGAGCAGCTGGGGAGTGCGGAATGCCTGCGTCCCACCCCTGGCAGCTCCAAAGCCTGTGTATGCAAATTAACCCGCCATCCCTGCATACTCACTCCTGACTGGCTGGTGGGTGTCATTAAGGTACAATCAATTTGCATCTTTCTCTTTTATTAGTGTAAATTATTAAAAAACTACAACATTCACTAATGACTGATAACTATAATTGTGTTACATTCATTTCCCTTATGCACCTTACACTAAGGCACATCATTTCTCTCCACTAATACTAGCACCGAGTATTTTATCAGCTGATTGCCACACCATTAGTCTTGGACTGACTTGTTTGGTGTGGGGAAAAGGAAATATTTCACTTTCTGAGAACAAGAAAAATAGGTTTATTTGCATTACACTTCTTTATCTGTGCAGTAATTCAGTGTCTGGTAAGTTAATGTTCAAGAAAAAATATTAATTTTTATTAAAATGTTCTATCATTTTATGTTAATGATTACTCATTTATTTTAGCCCTTTGTATTTAGCATGTCTCTATCAAAATAAACCTATGTTTCTATGAAAATTTAAGTTTTTGGAGTTTTTTTTGCAGCCCACGTAAACTTAAACCTTACTTATTTGGCCCATGTTAGCATTTGAGTTGACATGCTTGTATATGAAGGTCTTTTTTGTCCCAACTAGGCTGGAAGGTCATACATGATAGACCCTATTTTGTTTCTTTTGTATTCCCACAAGGAAAGAAGCAACCCTAAGTATGTTCCAGGTCAATGCTGGGAGGGGAGGGGAGGGGAGGGGAGGGGAGGGGAGGGGAGGGGAGGGGAGGGGAGGGGAGGGGAGGGGAGGGGAGGGGAGGGGAGGGGAGGGGAGGGGAGGGGAGGGGAGGGGAGGGGAGGGGAGGGGAGGGGAGGGGAGGGGAGGGGAGGGGAGAGAGAAACATAAGACTCTAACAGGTAAAAAGAAAACAACAGATCAACTAGAAACCAGAGACCTTGGGACCCAAGGAACAACATGTGGTAAGTTTGCTGGGTTTCCTTTCTGCCTCACATATCCCAGAGTTGAAGTTAAAGAAACTGAAAATGTCAAAGGGTAAGAACAACAACAAAAAAATCCTAGCAAGCTTGATCTCTGTAGCCAAAAGATGAAGAAAATTAGAAAGAGCCTAAGAAGACAGTAGACAATCATCGCTCTACTACAGCTAAACACCACTAAAAAAAAAACTGTGGCCCCATCCCACCCAGGCCAATAAAGGCTGAGTAGGGAGCCTAGACTTCCACCCATGCTAGGCTGTCATGAACCCACCACCTCTGCTGCCCGCAGTGTCAATGGAAACTTCTGGGGAGCTGGAACTCCTACTCCCAGCACTGACGAGGAAACCACGTGGGGCACCTGAATATCTATTTCCACCTGGTAGGAATGAGGCAGAGCCTTCATTTCCCCTGCCGGACTGGTTATGAGATAAACCCAACTAAGACTGAGGGTTTAAACAAGATCCAGAGTCCCACAGCTTAAGATGAAAATGTCCAGGGTTTAACTGAAAACCACTTGACACTGGTGAAAAACACCGACAAAGTACAGATGTTAGATTATATTTAGCAAAAGAGAAAACAACAGATATTAACTTTGAGATGAAAGAGATGTTAAAATCATCTGAAAAAGATTTTAAATTAGTCATGGTAAAAAATGCTTCAACAAGAAATTAGGAACTTGCTTGAAAATAATTGAAAAGGTAAAAAGCCTCAAAACAGAAACAGAAGATGTAAAGAAGAATTAAATGGGAAGTTTTAAAATTGAAAAATACAATTAAAATTCAATAAATGGTATTGGGGAAATTGGGCAGATATATGCAAAAAAATGAAAGTAGACCACCAACTTACACCATACCAAAAATAAACTCAAAATGGATAAAGGACTTAAATGTAAAACCGAGAAACCATAAAAATCTTAGAGGAATCCAGAGGCAGCAAAATCTCAGGCATATGCCAAAGCAGTATCTTCACTGATAAGCTCCTAGGGCAATGGAAACTAAAGAGAAAATAAACAAGGGACTATATCAAAATAAAAAGCTTCTGCACAGCAAAAGAAACCATCAACAACAACAACAAAAACAAGCAAGCCCACTGCATGCGAGAACATATTTGCCAATAACATCACCGACATTTACAGGGAACTCATACAACTTAACAAAAGAAAGATAAACAACCCAATCAAAAAATGGGCAATGGACCTAAATAGACACTTTTTGAAAGAGGACATAGGAAGGCCAAGAGACCTTCCTTGAAAACATGCTCAAAGTCACTAATCATCCGAGAGATGCAAATCAAAATGACAATGAGGTACTATCTCACACCTGTCAGAATGGCTATCATCAACAAATCAACAAATGACAAGTGCGGGCAAAGATGCAGAGGAAAAGGAACCCTCATGCGCGCTGCTGGAGGGAATGCAGACTGGTGCAGCCACTATGGAGAACAGTACAGAGTTTCCTCAAAAAACTAAAAATGGAACTCCCATTTGAAGTAATCCCACTGCTAGGAATATATCCCAAGAAATCAGAAACATCAATCAGAAAAGATATATGCACCCCTTCGTTCATAGCAACACAATTTACAATAGCTAAGATTTGGAAACAGCCTAAGTGCCCATTAGCAGATGAATGGATTAAAAAACTGTGTTACATCTATAAAATGGCATACTATGCTGCTGTAAAAAAGAAAGAACTCTTACCATTTGCAACAGCATTATGCTAGGTGAAATAAGTCAGAATAAGATAAATATCATATGATCGTAGAATATGATAACATAAACTGATTGACAAAAATAGATCCAGAGACAAAGAAGCATCGATCAGATGCTCAAACCTCAGAGAGAAGGTAGGGGAGGGGGAGGGGAAGGGGAAGAGATCAACCAAAGGACTTGTATGTATGCATGTAGGCATAGCCAATGGATGCAAGACACTGGTGAAGGGCAAATGCCGGGGCGTAGGGGAAGGTCAATGGGGGGAAAAACCAGAAAAGGAGACATATGTACTAATATTTGTAATACTTTAAACAATAAAATAAAATAAAATAAAATAAAATAAAATAAAATAAGACTGGAAATCAGCAATGATATAGAGGAATACAATCAAAAAGCATCTAATTGATATTTATGGAACACTACACTAAATAACAACAGAATACATTCTTTTCAAGTAGAAGTTTATAAGATAGACCAAATCCTGGGCAATAAAACAAACATCAACAAATAAAAATATGTAATTCATATGGCACACATTCTCAAACCACAATGAAATAATTAGAAATCAGTAATAGAAAGACAACAGGAAAATCTCTAATCACCTGGAAACTAAACAACATACCTCTAAACAATCCATGAGACAAGTCTCAACTAAAATCAAAATACACACTGAACTGAATAAAAATGAAAATACAGCTATCAAAAATTGTAGGAGTCAGCTAAAACCCAGCTAAGAATTCCTATATAATAAAAAGCTAATATGCAAATTGTTGCCTCAACCAGGAGTTCCACTGGAGTTCAAACAGGGGGCAGCGCCAGTTGGCCAACCGCCCATGGACCCTCCCCCCATAGGCCTCCCCTACCCAGATCAGGGGCAGGGTTGGCCAGCCAACCTCCTGTATCCTCTCCCCGGGCCAGCCCAGGCTGATCAGCCCCAATCAGGGTGTGCTGGCTGGACCCTACCCGTGCACGAATTTGTGCACCAGGCTTCTAGAGTTTACTGATATTTTCGTTGAATTCCTCTATATCATTGCTGATATAAACCCACACAACAAACAGAAAAGAGAAAAAAAAGAGTCAAACCAACAATATAAGCTCACATATGAAGAACCCAGGAAAGCCCTCACCAGTTTGACTCAGTGGATAGAGCGTCAGTCTACGGACTAAAGAGTTCCCATGTTTGATTCCGGTCAAGGGCAGGTACCTTGGTTTCAGGCACATCCACAGAAGGGGGTATGCAGGAGATAGCTGATTGATGTTTCTAACTTTTATTTCTCTCCCTTCCTCTCTGTAAAAAATCATTAAAACAAAACAAAACAAAAAGAACCCAGGAAAAAAAGGGTGGGGGGCAAAATAAACCCAAAGTAAGCAGAAGGAAGAAAATAACAAAGAACAGAAATTAATAAAATTTAGGGGGAAAAATAGCAAAAAAGTTTTTAAACATCAACAAAGAGCTGATTCTTTGGGGGGAAAAATCAACTAAATTGACAAACCTCTAGCAAAACTGATAAAGGGGAAGAAAGAGAAAGAGAAGACATACAAATTACCATTATAGGAATGAAATAGAGTATCAACCACCAAAGAGATCCTGCAGAAATCAAAAGGGTAACAAGGGAATACTACCAACACTATAAACTTAAACATGATAGACCAATTCCTCAAAAACACAAACTACCGCAAGTCATTCAATATGAAACAAATAATTTGAATAGTCCTATAAGCTATTAGAATAATTAAAATCATAATTTTTAAAAAAATATGTTTTTATTGATTTCAGAGAAAAGAAGGGAGAGGGAGAGAGGGATGAAACATCAATGATAAGAGAGAATCATTAATTGACTGCCTTCTGTATGCTGCCTACTGGGGATTGAGCCTGCAACTGAAGCATGTGCCCTGGCAGAGAAAAGAGCCGTGACCTCCTGGTTCATGGGTCAATGCACAACCACTGAACCACACTGGCTGGGCTACAATAATAATTTTAAATCCTCTCAAAAGAAATGAACAGGCTCAGATGATATCAAAGGTTTAAAGAATAATGAAACCTAATTCTACCCAAGCTCTTAAAAAAAAAAAAAAAAGATGAAGCACTTCCCAATCCTCTTATAAAGTTAGTATCTTCCTGACACCAAAACCTGATAAAATACAAAAAAAAAAAGAAAAAAGAAAAAAAAAGACTACTACAGACCAAGTCCCTCATGAATATAGACAAAAAAATCCTTAACAAAGTATTTGAAAATAAAATTGAGCAATATATAACAAGAATTATACACTATGACAAAGTGGGATTTATTCTAGGGCTGCAAGGCTGGTTCAACAATAGAAAACAATCATATTAATCATATAAAGCTAAAAAAAATCAAATTATTATATTGATCAATGCAGAAAAAGCATTCAACAACTCAACAGCCATTCATGATATAAAAGTTCAGTAAAAAATAGGAATAGAGCAGAACCTCAACTTGATTGAGCATCTACAAAATATGCACAACATACTTAATAGTGAAAGACTGAAGATGGGGATATCCACTCTTATTCAACCCAGTGTGCTAGAAGTTCCAGCCAGTGCAATATATCAAAAAAAGAAGATAAAAGGAAAAACTAAAACAGTCCATGTTTGAAAACAATGATATAGAAAGCAGAAGGAATCTATTCTTCTTAGATCAAAAATAAATCTACGAAAAAATCTCCTAAAACTACTAAATTCAACAAATTCAAAGAATATAAGGCAAACATTTTTTAAAAACACAACTGTATTTCTAGATATAAGCAACAAACCAATATCAAATGTAATATTATTTATAATCACTAAAAAAAAAAAAAGAATTAAATACTTAGGCACATCTACCAAAACATGTACTGGATTTATATGCTGAAAACTGCAAATGCTGATAAAAAGGAATCAGAGAAAAACTAAATAAGTGGGTTGGAAAATTCAACATAGTAAAGATGTCAATCTCTCCAAATTGATATACAGTTCAATGCAATTCCTAAAAGGATTTTTTCTACATATAGACAAAATATTCTATAATGTATATAGAAAAGCAAAGGAACTAGGATAAAACAATTTAAAAATGAAGAATAAAGTAGGGAGGAATAAATATGCCCAATTTCAAGATTTATATAGTTATAGTAATCAAGACTGTGGTATTAACAAAGGGAGCGACATGTAGATCAATGGAACAGAGAACCCGGAAATACTCACACAAAATGCTCAACTGATTTTTGAGAAAAGTGAAAAGAAATTTAATGGAGGAAAAACAAGTAGAGTAATAGAATATAAACAAGTAGAGTAATAGAATATAAACAGGTTAAACAAACAAAAACCCTTAACCAATGTCTCACATTTTAAGTCAACGGACCATGGACTTAAATGTAATACGTAAAACTACAATACTTTTATTTTTAAAAATGTGGGAAAAATATCTTTTGAGATCCAGGACTAAGTTTTAGATTTGACACTAAAAGCATGATCCACAAAGGAAAAAATTGATAAATTAATCTTCATCAAATGAAATACTTTGGCTTTGCAAAGAACATTAAAAAAGTGATCCAACCAGCTTGACTCAGTGGTTGAGCGTCAAACTATGAACCAGAGGCCAAGGTTCAATTCTCAGTCAAGGCACATGACCCGGATGCCTGCTAGATCTCCAGTGTGGGGCAAGCAGGAGGAGGCCAATCAATGACCCTCTCATCACTGATGTTTCTATCCCTCTCTCTCCCTTCCTCTTTGAAATAAAAAAAAGATATGTATATAAGCTATAGGCTGTGAGAAATATCTACAAACTATAATCTCATAAAGACTTGCCAGAACAGTGGTTGTCGGGGGCTAAGAAAGGGTAGGAGTGGGAGCTAAGTGGGTATGGCTATAAAATGATAAGGAGGGATCCTGTGGCAATTAAAATGTTCTGTATTTTAACTGTCAACATCCTGGTTGTAATGTTGTATTACAGTTTTGTAAAATGTTTCAATTGAGGGAAACTAAAGGATATATCATTTCTTACAACTGCATGTGAATCTACAACTATCTCAAATTAAGTTTAATTAAAACAAAAAATTTTTAAGTCAACAGTGAAAAGCACAATCATGACCAGTTACCATATAGTAACTTATGTCAAGTATCTAAACCTCAAACACACCGATTACCTAAATATTAATTAGTAAATATTAATTTTAACATTCTACTATAAATATAAATGCCTTAAGACAGTAGGTGGTAAACCATAGTTCGAGAGCCACATGCGGCTCTTTGGACCCTTGAGTGTGGCCCTTCCACAAAATACCACGTGCGGGCGCGCACGTACAGCGTGGTGGCCCATGCACAGAAATCAGTTTTTGGCCTGGGCAAGTCTATTTTGAAGAAGTGGTATTAGAACACTCAAGGGGCCAAACAGTTGCATGTGGCTCCCGAGCCACAGTTTGCTGACCACTGCCAAGCGATTCAGTTAGTTGGAGGCATAATCTCCTACACCGGTGGTTGGCAAACTGTGGCTCGCGAGCCACATGTGGCTCTTTGGTCCCTCCCGTGAGTGTGGCTCTTCCACAAAATACCTCGGCCTGGACGAATCCATTTTGAAGAAATGGCGTTAGAAGTTTAAGTTTAAAAAATTTGGCTCTCAAAAGAAATTTCAATTGTTGTACTGTTGATATTTGGCTCTGTTGACTAATGAGTTTGCCAATCACTGCCCTCCACCAAAAGACTATGGATTCCATTCCAGGGCACTTATGGGAGGCGATGGATCGATGTTTCTCTCTCACATTGTTTCTTTTTTCTCTCTCTACCCCTACCCCATTTCCTTCTCTCTCAAAAAAAAAAAAAAAAAAAAAAAATCAAACATATCCTCAGTGAGGATTAAAAAAAAAAAGTGTGTTACATTTTCAATGCTACTGGAAAAAATCAAATAATTACATTTTCAAGCAAAAAAATCTATGTAATTCTACAGTGATGACTTGTTATTGAGATCTCAGAACTTGAGGCCTAATATAGACAGCATTTATGCTGCCTGAGCAAAAATCTGAATTTTCTTAATATTTTTTGAGAAATTATTTAAAAACCAATGAATAATAATATGCACTTTCACTTGCCAAACACTTCTGAAAGTTTCCCTTCTGTATTCTTCATCTGACACTGAAGTTATACATGATTCTAGAAGGTACACAATGGAAGCTCATTCAGCTATTCTGATAAATCTAACTAGAATAACTCTATCATCCACTGTAACCTTGGTATTTCTTAAGCCTTTCCAGTTCTAACTCAGTGATAAAAAAAATATTTGGTGTAAACCATTAGTTTCTTATCTCCTTGATCAGTTTCTGATTTCATCAGTAATTATTCTGAGAAATTTTAGAGCAAAAAGAAATGTTCAGATAAAGCTTACTCAAAAAGATCTTCCAACTAAAGTACGTGCAATTTGGACTCAAATTTTGATCTTATTCTTTTTAAATTTCTGCAATTTACTACCACAATATATATTTGTAAAGTGTATATTCTTACAAATGATTTGTTCATGGCACGTTTCACTTCATCAGAACCATCTGAATAGATCTGTTGAAATAATTTGTTTAAAGCTGCATCTCCCTCCAACTTCTCATTCTTTTCTTCTTCCTTGATTTCTCCAACCAATTTATCCCAATTTCTTGTATAAAGAGATGATGATGGATATAGGTTCTTTACATCTACAGAGAAAAATGAAGTGATTAATTAACATGTGTTGATTATGCCAAGAATATGTAAACTTTGTGACCGTGATGTAAAGAACACCTTAGCAAATAATAGGTGATTGAATTTCACTAAATTTCATGTTTGAAATAAGTATCTTTCTGATAGGCATCAATAATTAAATTTACAATTCTAAAAACTTAACATAATGTAAAATATAGCAATCTCTTTTGAACAAAGTAGTTCCATAAAACATAAACTTTTTATACATTATACGAAATTAGATTAAGAACAGATACTTCATGTTAATAATACGGGAAACTAAGTGGAAAGTATATACAAACTTTTACATATTTACAGAAAAGTTGCAAAGATAGTACAATTATAAAATTAATGTGTTTTTTAAGTTGCTTCATTCAGAAATTTCTCTTATTGATAAGATTTTAATGTTAAAAATGTGACCTTTCCTAAGATATTTATATATCTTCCAGAGTAGAAATAAACTGCAAATGTAAATAACTGTCCATCCTATTCAGCAGTTAGTTAATTCATCCATTCTTCCCCCACATTAAAAAATATCAGAATATGTCAATAAGAGATAATAAGAATCAGGTCCGTAATATTGAAAAATACTATATGGGATGACCTGGAGTTCAATGCCCACACTATGCACACATACCAAATAACAGTATTTATAGGGTACACTGGGATAAATGAAGGCCGCTTGCAGGCAGACAGATACCAGCCCAGGGACTCAGGGCACTGTCAAGGATGCCCCAAAGACGAAATGAATTAAGATTTTGACACACAAATAATTTAAAAGTAACTAACCTACCTAGTAGCTATGAGAGCAGCTCTCTGTTCATTGTCCAATCTATATTAATAAAAAGAATGCAAATTGACCATACCTTCGCAATGCCCACAAGCTAATCAGGAGCGAATATGCAAATTAACCCAACAAAGATGGTGGGTTAATTTGCATATGCAGTCACCAGGCGGCTGGGGATGGGATGCTTGCATCATTGCCATGGCAACAATGCAGGCATTCCGCACTGCCCCAGCTGCTCAGGGCCTCTGGGCAGCATGGGAAGGCGGAAAGGCGGCTCTGGGCAGAGCAAAGGTGGTGCCTGCAGCCAGGGGAAGGAAGGCCAATTCTTGCACGAATCTTTGTGCATCGGGCCTCTAGTAGAAATATAATGCAAGCCACATATGTGAGCCACATATATAATTTTAAAATTTCTAGTAGCCACCTTACTAGAAAGAATTTGGTGAAATGCATTTAAATAATATATTTATTTAACCTGATAAATACAAAATAGTATCATTTCAACATAAAATAAAAACTTTATGGCATTTATTTCTTTTTTTTCCTATTAAGTATTCAAAATTTAGTATGTATGTTACACTGAGAGCACATCTCAAATCAGGCTAGTCATATTTCAAGTGCTCAATAGGTACATGTGGCTAGCAGCTACTATATTGGACAATGCAACTACAGAGATTTAAAAAAATGATTCAAAGATTTCCTATCAATATATTAAAACACATTAATACTAATCTAAATGTCCTTCTTTCACTACTGCTTCTCTATATCCCCTTCCTCAAAATAAATGAGAAAACTACTAATTCTTCATTCTACTTTTCCACCTTTTCTCTTCACAGGTAAATCAACTTTCTCCTTGCCTATCCTTGCTTTGAAACAAAACTACAACACACCACACAGTTTTATTCAGGGCAAGCATGCTACTTTTCAAACACTACCTACCTTCCTCTACAATAATCTCCTCTATCTCTGTATATTATCACGAGTAACCAAAGAAAAATTTTAACTTGCCATGAAAATTAAGAGCCTAGGAAACATGGATTTAATTAATTCTATTGTAACTTCCCAGAAGGATGGGGACACAGGTTCGAATCTCCACTGCCTACATAGGTTAAATAATGTGCCCTTATCTGGTGTCTACAGCTTGCAGTACACAGGAATCTGACAAGCATATTAATTCCTTACAAAAATATAACAGGACAGGAGGAATAGCATCTTTATGAATATGCAAAGCATTTAGCTTAGAAGAAGTCTGTAAAACTAAAAAAAACCTTTATAGTTGATCTCAGAAAAATTTTAACACCTGTAGGTAGTAGATGAATTACTGAGAGTAACCTAACTTCCTTACTCATCATGTATAATAAAAGGTTAATATGCAAACAACCAATTGCTATAATGCCAGGGGGCAGATGCTCAACGCAGGAGCTGCCCCTGGGGGTCAGTGCGCTCCCCCCTCAGCCAGAACTGGGCTCATGGCTGGCAAGCGCAGTGGCGGTGGCAGGAGCCTCTCCTGCCTCCACGGGGAGAGCGGGCCTAAGCCTTCAGTTGGACATCCCCCAAGGGTTCCCGGATTGCGAGAGGACACAGGCTGGGCTGAGGGACCCCCACACACACAAGTGCACAAATTTCGAGCATCAGGCCTCTAGTTCACTATCAAATAACTGCAAAGATACTCATGTAGCAGAGACTTTTCATTGTTAGAAAATGAAGAAACAAGCAGTAAAACAGGAGGTTAACAAAAGAACCAGCCCAGACTCTAAAGACCTGGGTTTAGACCTAGACAATAAAAAACACTAGGTGATCTTACAAGAAGCTGCTTAACCTTTCTGAGCCTGTAAACTAGGAGAAACAATAGTAGGCTGCTTACTATATAGGGCCATTGTTAGAATTAAATGAGATACTATAGTTAAAGTGTTTCTTTTAAAAATGCTTTGAGCTATATATAAACTTCAGCCCCAAAATCAATGGGAGTCAGCCCTAAGAGAAGCACATATTTTACTATGTCTTTCAAATAAAGTGGGACACAGATGCTTAAATAGCTTAAATACCAACTTGCAATTTCATTCTTAATTATCCAGCCCCAAATTTCATTCTTAAAAATTATCTGTTGGTGTCAGTTTCCTAATTTTACTAATTATTCTATAGCTTAGTTACAATATTAGCATCCAGGAAGGCTAGGAGAAGGGTACATAGAAACTCTTATTTCTGCAACTTGTGTGAGAATTATTTCAAAATAAAAAATAATAAAAATGCATGATCTGTTGGCTAACTCAGAGTTTTCTAAAAAGTTCCACAAAGAAATATATTTTCTGTTATAGAAGAAAGCAGTGAAATATCTAAAAGTAACTGAAAGGGCCCAGCCGCATGGCTCAGTGGTTGTCAACCTACGAACCAGGTGGGCACAGTTCAATTCTCTATCAGTGTGGGCTGTACAGGAGGCAAACAATCAGTGATTCCCTCTCATCACTGATGTTTCTATTTTTCTCTCCACCTCCCTTCCTCTCTGAAGTCAATAAAAATATATTATGAATAAATAAATAAATTCATTATATTAGACAATATAGTGAAATTAACACTTTATTCAGTAAATCTCTGAAATTCCAGAAAATTAGAGTTGACAATATCAGCATAGAAAGGAATAAATAAGGGAGAGGAAAGAGGAGAAAATATATTGGTAAATTACTAATCCACTTAAAACTAAAAAAGCACAAATAGGAAAGGCCAACACACACACATGCAAAAAACACCCCCAATTGATGTCATAAACTGCAAGGTAAACAATAAATTCAAATTTTCTCTAGGTTTTTGCTGCCATTCATTTGTACTCTTAAGAGTTTAAGAAGTCAGAACCTTCATAAGACAAGCCAATTTGTATTCATTATAGAGCAACCTTATGATACTCGATATGTTTTATATTGGGAACATAAATAATGAAAACCAAAAAAAAAAAAAAAAAAGCTTATTACTATTTAATTTCAACTATGTAACATGATTTGAATTTAAAGCTCATCGAGGCCAGAAAACAAACCTGCTACCAACTGTTTTGGCTTAGGCACTTCTTCTTCTCGCTCTAGCTTTTCCCATCTCACAGCCTCTGACTTTTTCATTTTAATTTCAATCTGCAGAAAACACCAAATAAAATCCATCGTTCAATGTAAAATAGACACAAAAAATGCAATTATCTTAAGTCATCAAAGTTTTATAAAAATTAATAGTGTCCTTCAGATAGCTTCCTAAATTATACAAGGTTAAATTTGAAGAATTTTGAAACATTTGTTTTTACTTAAAAGCCCTTCAAAAACATACACACATTATAAAGTACAATTAAGAAGAATCTTGAAATCCTTATGCTTTTTTCTTCTAAAGCAGTGTTCTCAACCAGGAGTCATACTGACCCCAAGAGACATTTGGCAATCAATGTAAGAGACACTGTTGGTCTTCACAACTAGGGTGAGGATAAGGAGTGCTACTGACATTAGTGAGGAGAGAGTAGGGCAGGCTAAACCATACAAGACAATATTCCCACAACAACTATCCAGCCCAAAACAGAACAGTGCCAACCACCAAGAAACCCTGTCCTAAACGAATTAGTACAGTTGCAAATACATTAACCTGTTTTGGAGTGGAGAAAATTCATTCCACTGTATAAAAAATAACACAATATCAACATTTCACAATCTTACATGCAATACTTATTAAACACCCACTATGAGCAAGGTATAGTTTTCAGGGATATGAGAGATTTTTTAAAATATTCAAGACCTGTTCTTGACCTTCCATGAAAGTTACTAAAGAGGCAAATAAATGTTCTAAAAGCTCAGGAGACATCACACCTATATGTGAGCAGGTAAGGTTTCAGGGTACCTCTGAAGAGTTGTGAGAGGAAGGAGTATCTCCTATGGTTGACAGGGTAGGTCTCCAGAAGCAAAGAGAATAGCCTAAAACTGGAGCCATGAGGTGTGAAGGGGCATCAGGGAATAGGGAGAAAACCAATTTGCCTCAAGACCAGCATTTATGTTAGAGCAGTGAAAAATATAGATGGGGGAAAATGTGTAAGGCAGTCTATGAACAGCTCCTGAAAGCTAAACTTAAGTCACTTATTCAAATAAAATGTCAACATTATTCTAAAGGCATCTTTTACTCTCTAACCAAGGTTTGTCCCTAAAATCTACACTTACCCTAACATATACTCACATACCACTTATATCTACCCTTTTTGTTTATTCAAATTAGTGCCCTCACCCCCACTTTTAACCTAGCAAAAATCAGCATTTATAGTGATGGTAAACAGTAATAATTATTATGCAAACAGTTTAAGAATCAAATTAGATTAAAATAACAATAATAGTAATAAGAATCTAATAAAATAATCAAATTAGAGCCATGGGAAATTTGGATCAGTGGTTAAAGTGTTGGCTGAGGCTGCAGGTTCGATCCTCAGCCCAATCACGGGCTTATGTGGGAGGCAATCAATCCATGTGTTTCTCTTGCACTGATGTTTCTTTCTCTCTATCTTTCTCTACCCCCCACCCCCTTTCTCCCTTCCTCACTCTTGCTCTCGCTCTCTCTCTCCCCTCACCACACTCTTTAAAAACCAGTGGGAGAAAAATATATCCTCAGATGAAGAGTAACAACAACAAAAAAAGAATCAAATTAGATTTTATATACTAGCATTTTTTTCATAAGAAAAAGATTACTTTTATTAATAGAAAAAATTTGCCCAGCTGGTGTGGCTCAGTGCTTGAGTGTCAACCATGAGCCAAGAGGTCACCAATTCAATTCCAGGTCAAGGCACATGCCTGGTTTGCAGGTTTAATCCCCAGTAGGGGGCAGCCAATAGAAGATGTTTCTCTTTCATCAAGGTTTCTCTCTATCCATCTCCTTTCCTCTCTAAAAAAACAAAAAAACAAAACATGTTTATAAAAAGGCAGATTTAACAAAAAGAAAAGCCTATTCACACCTTAGTTATCTGACTCCTTTAGATGAGATGAATCATTTAAATTAGCAGTTACTGGTAATCGTTCTAAAACCTGCATTTAGTGTGCGAATCCTTAAAGTATGCATTTTAAAATTCCTTAACAGCCGAAGCCGGTTTGGCTCAGTGGAAGAGCATCGGCTTGGGGACTAAAAGGTCCCGGGTTCAATTCCAGTCAAGGGCATGTACATTGGTTGTGGGCACATCCCCACTGGGGGGTGTGCAAGAGGCAGCTGATCGATGTTTCTCTCTCATCGACGTTTCTAACTCTCTATCCCTCTCAATTCCTCTCTGTGTAAAATCAATAAAAAATACATTTTTTAAAAAAAAGACTTACCAAATGTTTAAAAATATATATACCTTAACATAACAGTTATCACAGAAATACACCTCAATATTTTAATCATAAAGTGATGGTATGGAAGGGAATGTGGATTCTGCGTAATCTAATTTTTTTTTTTTTTAAATAGAAAGGTAACAAAAAATTGTTTCATGAGAAAACACAAAACAAATGTCACTGGGAAAGGAACAAAAATTATAGTATTCTAAATTTAATATGTATGTTTAAATTATACATAAATAAAAACAATTATTTCATAAGAATCTCTAGAATTCCATAAAATAAACTATGATTCATTTTTATAAAGTAAAATTTCACCAACATTTTCTCATGCACAGTATTGCACTTTGGTTATTTTAAGTTGTCATTGCTGAAATTTCCTAAAAGGGATAGCAATTGAATAGCTAGTAATGACACAGCAGTAGTACTAAAAAAAAAAAGGTTATCAATATTATCCTAAAATTTAAAATTGCCATCTTACTCCTTTAATTTCTGGAAATGGAGACCTGGCTAGCAGGGTATACATAAACACTATCCTTAACTAGCCTCTACAACAGGGCACCCTATATTCGAACCTCATGTTACCATACTAAGCACTATCTAATATAAAAGGTTCCTTGTTGTACCCAAAGAGCAAAGCATGCTAGTACTAGCATCTACTGAAAGCCACTATAACCTGACTAATTGTGCAGTCCACACAGAGAGGCATTAATAAAGCCAGCCAAAGCTTGTAGTAACAACCTGACTCAACTGAGAAACGTTGACCTGAACTTGAAATTATACTTAATCCATTCACTGAAAAAGCTGCACATAATAAACCATTTAAAGTAGCTTTTTTAAAAGGTAAAAAGAGGATTGGGGAAACTAATTTTCTATTAATTCTTTTTTACACCTACTTCACTTCTGATGTTTTAAAAATGAAGTTTAAGTCTTGCTTTTATTAATTTGGTAAATAATTCTAGAATCGTCACCAATTCAATTTCAGATATTTTTAGTGCAACCATTAACAAGTAATTCTATTTTCATCTTAGTCAAAAATAATTTGAGGAGTCAAGATGGTGGCCAGCAGGATGGCAGTGAAGGAGCACGTGTGCAGGATGTGTGTGTGAACAAGGGGCAATTACATCCTGCAAGAGACTCGGGGGTTGGCAGACTGGACTCTACTAGACGGGAAGCCCCTGCTATTGCTGCAGGGATCCCCAGGGCAGCCGCTCTTGCTCAGAAACCATGCCATCTTGAAGGGGAGAGCTGCTGTAACTGGAAGCCCACACTCACCACCACCCAGACTGGCTTCAGACACCATCCCAGACCCTGTAGCCACTCCGGCCAAAGACATGCTACTACAACTGCAGACCCACAGATCCGGGACTAAGGCCTCTCAGGCCACAGACTCTTGTGAGCCCTGGAGTGTGCTTCCCTCCAACCAACTTGCAGCTTCAGGCTTAGGCCACATGTGCAACTCCGGCACTTGGGCACTCTGGTGAGGCTTGGAATGCACGACCCTTCCGCCAAGCCTGTTGCTTCAGCCACAGGCCCCAAGAAACGCAATGCCTGGCCAAAACCTGTTTGGCTCAATGGATAGAGCGTCGGCTTGGGGACTGAAGGGACCTGGGTTCGATTCCGGACAAGGGCATGTACCTTGGTTGCGAGCATATCCCCAGTAGGGGGTGTGCAAGAGGCAGCTGATCGATGACTCTCTCTCATCAATGTTTCTAACTCTCTCTCCCCCTTTCTCTCTGTACAAAATCAATAAAATACAAGAAACTCAATGCCTGGACACTTGAGAGAAAAAATGGGGAGACAAAAAACCCCAAAGGAAAGAAAAGGAGGAGTCACCAGAATAGGAATTAAATGAAATGAAAAAAGAATTCAGAGTAAAGGTTATACAGTTCCTAAACTGGCTGAATGAGAAAATCAACAACTTACTTAAGAATCAAGAGGAAATGAAGAATACTATGGCTACAATAAAAAACACATGGAAGGTTTCAATAGTAAACTAGAAGAAGCGGAGGACCGAGTTAGCGAGTAAGAAGACAGGGCAGAAAAACACACCCAAGCAGAATAGAAACTGGAGAAAAAATTTAGAAAGGTGGAGAGCCTAAAGGAGCTTTGGGACAACATGAAACAAAGAAAAATACGTATAATAGAGGTACCAGAAGGACAAGAAGAGGAGCAACACCCTACCTGGTTTGGCTCAGGGGATAGAGTGTTGGCCTGCGGACTGAGGGGTTCTGAGTTTGATTATGGTCAAGGGCACATGCCAGGGTTGTGAGCTCGATCCCCAGTGTGCAGGAGGCAGCTGATCAATGATTCTCTCATTGTTGATGTTTCTCTCTCTCCCCTCCTCTCTAAAGTCAATTGAAAATTTTTTTTAAAAAAAAAAGAAGAGGAGCAAGAATTAGAAAACCTATTTGAAGAAATGAAGACAGCCAAAACCGGTTTGGCTCAGTGGATAGAGCACTGATCTGCAGACTGAAAGGTCCCAGGTTTGATTCCAGTCAAGGGCATGTAGCTTGGATGTGGGTACATCCCCAGTAGGGGTTGTGCAAGAGGCAGCTGATTGATGATTCTCTCTCATTGATGTTTCTAACTCTCTATCCCTCTCTCTTCCTCTCTGTAAAAAATCAATAAAATATATATATATATATTTTTTTTTTTTTAAAAAAGAAAGAAATGATGACAGAAAGCTTCCCTGATTTGGGAAAGAAAAAAGTCACACAAGCCCAGAGTCCCAAACAAGAAGAACCCAAAAAGACCCACACCAAGACACATCGTAATTACAAAAGCAAACGTTAACAACAAAG